CAGTCCACTGAGCTACACCAGCCAGGGCTAAAGGCTACTCTGTCTTCACACCACACGCCCCTGCCGGTGGGCAGGTGGGGGGTTGTGGGGGCCGAGGGGCTGCTCCACGGAATCCCTCAGGCACCCGGGCTGACAGAGGCTCTGCCCCGGGGACGCCAGCATTTGCGGGGGGAACGGGGACTGGAGAACGGCACGTGGGCGTGTCCCAGTCCCAGCCACAGCCTGCAAGTGCCACACGTCACTCTGCTCAGGTTCGTTGGCCAGAAGTAGTCCCGAGACCCTGAGGGACTCTGAGGGGCGGGGCAGTGGAGCCACCTGTGTGCACGGGAAGGTGCGGAGGAGACAGGCACCTGGGCTGCCCACCACCCCTCTGAGGCGGCGAGTCCGATGGTAGAGAAACTTCCCCAGTAAATATTCTGAAAAGGTCACAAAGGTGCTAGAAGAAAGGACTTCGTCTTACCCTGGACCACAGCAGTAAAAAACTGGAAGTGACCCAAATATCCAAGGGACAGCCTCCAGAGGTGTTAAAAAGGATGAAATTACACATTTACCGACATAGAAATATATTCATGACACAGTGCTAGAAAGAAAAAAAGCAAGTTATAAAACAGCACTATGACTGTATTTCGTGACGACAGGAAGAACACAAACACAGAGGCACAGAAAAGGAGTCTGAAAAGGTCGACACCAAAATGTTAACAGTGGTTATAATCCGATGGTGTGAAACGCTGATTTTTTCCTTTCATTCATCTGCAAGTTTCTTTAAAAAAAAAGTGTGTATCATTTTTGTACCAAAAAGTCATTTAAAAAAGGAAAAAAAAAACCAACCTGGTACTCTTGGGAGAGTGCCCCTCACCCTAGTCATTCCGGTCTCACATCTGATGCCAGCAATGCCTGGCTGCCTGCCCCGCACCAGACACTGCCGCCACAATGTACTTCGGCAGGACCGTGCATTCAGACAGCAACACGTTCCCCACGGCTGCAAACCTCGGACCTGTGTGTCCAGCACCTGCCGAGACACCCCACGGTCTGGGCTGCACAGGGCCTCTCGGGCGCACCGGGCCGGGGCCGCCCGGGGGGCCGCACCTCACAGGGCTCCGCGTCGTCAGAGAGGGTAGGGCGCCGCACGGTTCCACTCGGAACGACAGACCCACGGACGCTTCTCGCCAACGGGTTCCACAACGAATAACATCACCACCAGGGTTATTAAAGACGGCTCTTAGCTAGGCATATTTTTAATGGAAAATACCGTTTCTTCTACTGGTCCCGCTACTTCCTCCCCAACACACACACACACACACACTCTCTCTCTCTAGTAAATTTACTAGACCAGCTGTCCGATTCTTGCCACAGTCGCCTCCCTGGCTGGCCTCTAGGGAGGAACTAGAACACCCGTATTCTCGAGACAGGTGTGTGGGAAGGATGTGTAAGTGACACGTATTTCCACACAGGATTCCCCTGCGTGCTGTCACCCCCACTGTCCCCAGAAGATACACTATTTCTTTGGGGGAAACCGTGGCATCAGAAATTACAATCCTTTTACACCTTTTACATGCATATCACTTAAAAATAGATACGGACATTAATTTGCAAGCTTCTAGTTTAAACCAGAAGCACAACAGTGCTTTGAAATTCAGTGGCATTTCACGTGGACAAGAGAATCAACTCTCAGAAGGACAGACGGTACAAACAACTCGCTTTCGGTGATGAGCGAACAGCGGTGGCTGGCTCCCTCTTAAAGCAAAGCCTCTTTCGAGGGGCTATTCTAAGTCACACCACGGCTGCACTCCTTCTGAGAGTGAACCTGCCCCACGGGGGTGGGGGGGGGCCCTGTGCGGTCCCAGTGGTTGGCTTTAGAGAAGAGCAGACTTTTCTATGGAGAGGACTCTTTTTATGGCGAAGAGGCGGATGGTGATGCTTCTGGGCCGCCCATGAGCTATATCCTGTCCCAGCCTTGACTTGACGCCCCGTCAAACGACTACACACCAGTCACGGGGCGGCAAACCACCCTCCTACGGGCTGTGCCCGTGGCCTGCCTGAGCCTAGGGAAGTCCCCGAGGAGGCTGCCCGTTGGGGGCCCACCACTCTCTGTGGACAGCCCTGGGGTTGGGCGGGTCCTCTCCACCCTGCTCTAACCACTGAGCTGCCAGCTGCTCCCTGCACAGGGCTGGCTCTTGTCTGGGAAGGGGGTGGGCAGTCAACATCAAACCCCTCTCCCCACCGCACCAGCCAGGACTCCGTTTACTGCTCTGTGGTCTCAGGGCCTCCCACACGCCAAACAAAGCGCTGCCTCCACTAAGACCACCCACAAAGAACACAAAATGAGTCCTGTCCCACCTCCGGCCTCAGAGATCACAGACACTGTATCAACCAACGAGTTCTCTGCAAAACCAGATCCTTCAGCTCCGATCCCCTCATTTGTAAATCGTCGTCGGCTGTGGGCATGTGCTGAAATCGTGTAGCTGCAGCGTGTGCTCTCATCAGAACACAAGGGAATTTCTTTCCTTGGCCCCCGAGAGCCACCGGAGAGAGCACAGCAGCAGGGCTCAGAGGTGGGCACTGGACCGAGGTCCCGGAGACCTGGGTGCGGAGCATGCGGCTGCCCGTCCCCCCCCCCTCCGGTGACCCTGGGCCTGCCACTTCCTGTCTCTGCCTCCTGTCCGCAAAACAGGGGTAACGATCTCTGGGCAGCCCTCGCACCCGCTGAGGCCCGACATGCCCACGTGCAGGCGAGTGTGCAGGGGGTGCATTAAACCACACACGTTTTGGGTCTTGTGTGGACGCTGGCTCTCTCTCCCTGAAGTCCTGTCCCAACCTGTCTCTCGGGCGTTTTCCGCTCCCTGGACACTGGGAGGAATCCATCTCCGCACACCACTTCCAACTTTGCAAAGCATCCAGCTGGGTCTTCATGGGGACAGAAGTTATTCTTAAGTTATTCTTTATTCATTATGAATAAAGGGCTTCAAGTTTTACTTTGCCTCCTTTGGGCCCCAGCTTTCGCGGGTGCAGAAAGCAAGCTAATCTAATCTCAAAGACGTCAAGGTCAGGAGAGTCGCTTGCTAATGGAAAGGCAGCCCTGGTCCTACATCCCCCAGCCGCACAGCTCTGCTGGGTGTGCGTCCTGTCCTGCCTGCACCGGGCCTAGGACGGTGACAAGTAAGGGACACCAGTGCTGGGACTGGACACGGCCGCCCTCGTGGACGACGGCATGGGCAGCTGGCTCAGGTGGAAACCGGGACACATCCTGCTGGTCTTTCTCATCACACCGGGCCCGCCACCCGCGGAGCCAGGGCCTGTTGGACAGGGTCAGTCTCTCGACTGACTGTCCCGGTCATTTGTCTCAACGGAAAGTAAGTGACGGAACATCAGGGCCTCTAGAGAAAAGCGGAGGAACGCCGAGTGCAGAGCTCCGTGAGGCCGGGCCGTGCTGAGCCCACCGCCCGCCCCGTCGGAGGAGCCCTGCTGCTTCCAGCCCCCGGGGGGGCCGCCACACAGTCAGAGCCGGTGAGCCGCGCCGCAGGGGACTTATGCCCCTCACCTGCAGCCTCCTCTGCGCTGACCAAATGCTGCAGGGGTCAGGGGCACGTGGGGACCGGGGCGGGTTGCAGCAGCCCGCGGTCACAGCTCTGTCACTTCCGGTGTTTCCCACGGTCACCGCTAGGGGGCACACGTGGCTGTAGCCGCTCCACCTCCCACGAATAGGCCGCCTGAGCAGGCTCCTGCCACTTGAGTTGGCTCCTTCGGGAGGAACAAGCCACCTGACAGGGGTGGGGGGCACCAGGGGACCCGCGCTTAGGTTTTGGGCTCCAGATCTCCCGGGCAGCCGTGTGCCCAGTCTGCTGACAGGTGGACCGGCCTGGCCTAAGAAGCCCTTCTATCCCACTGCGGGGGCGCTGGCCCAGCGCAGGGGCAGCCGACTCCCCAGTCTCCGGGCCCGGCCAGCAGGGGGCAGCCCCCAGCTGCCAAGGAGCCACCGGAGCTCTGGGGGGAAGGGGCGGGGCCAGCAGCCGCCCCTCAATCACCAGGGCCGACCACACTCTGCGCCTCCTGGGCGCCGTGCGCTCCGCCGAGCCACCCACTCCGCCTGCGGGGTCTCTCCTAGAGGGCCTCAGTGCTCCCCAGCCGTCCTTCCTCCCCTAGCCCAGACGAGACGCCCCTGCTCAGAGGGTGTCCACTACAGGAAGCAGCGCAGCGGGGCTTGTGAAGTCCCCTCCGCGCCCAGGTCTCCTGTGTGGGTACCCCGCCCTCCCTCAGGCTGTTTATCCCACATCCAAACTCAGCAGGGAGGAATTCTACCCGCCTGAGAGCATCCTTCCAGAAGGAGGCGTTCTCAGAGAGGGTAAGGAGGCACCAGGCCCCCTCTCCTGAAGGCGTGTGGAAGAGCCTACGGCCAGGGATGCCAACCACTGTGCCAGGCGCGGGGCGGCCCGTCCCCGGGAAGGATGCCAGCGGCACCCGATGCCCACGGAGAAACTCGGTGAGGGGCGAGCCGTGCAGCTCCTGTCCCTTCCTCAGCTGGAGCCGAGAGAGACGGAGGCAGCCCTGGGCCCAACCCCTCTGCGCCAAGGCCCAGCCTCGCTCACTGAGCTGAGGCTCCCTCGGGAGCTGGTGTGACTTCTCTCAGCTGTCCACACCCAACAGCGGACCCCGCCCTAGGCCCCAGCCTTCGGCAGCCCCATCACGCCAGGGACAGCCTGGAGGCCTGGAATCCCCAGGCTACCGCTTCCCGGGACTGGGGAGGAAGGGCGGTCCCAGTGTCACCGCCCCGGGGTGTGTGTGTGTGTGTGTGTGTGCTCGCGTGCATGGGGGGTGGTCACACCAGCTCCTGCTGTCTCCACTGCCACCCTCCCTGCCACAGAGCCACCGAGACAGACCACGGGTTCGACCACACAAGCACACGTATGCCTCGCAATGACCCAGAACACCAAGATCTGCTGATCTGTTCAACAGGGACTCTGCTAGGAGTTGATTGAAACACTAAATTCTGCTCATATGTTTAATTGAACAAATATTTATTAAGCACCTACTTTGTGCCAGGCACTGTGCTAGGCATCCTCACTGCGTGCTGTTCCCACAGCACAGCAGTCTGCTCAGACATTAACACCATGAAAAGGCCCATTGTCGCAACCTTACAAACTGGGGGCGGGGCCAGAGGGGTAGGGTGGGTGCAGGCAGGCCCTGGGCCAGGAAATGCACCCACCAGAAACTTGTCTTCTTCCTCCGGACGCGTCTGCTGAGTAACGGCTTTAAAGCATCCGGATACTTAACTGGGAAGGAATTTTCTATCTCCACACCCCACGAGGGCGCCTGGTGGACATTCAAATACTCTGAATGTTATTCAAAAAAAAGGGAGGTGTGAAGGACATTCACATTTGTCTTAGAAAACTAATTTCAGTTTGTATGGTTGCCACACGGTTAGGAAAGATAGAAACATCCCTGCCCGGACTGCGCGAACGTTGAAGGTAGACCAAGTTCTGGGTTCCTGAGTCAGCATCTGCCTGCGTCCACACAGTCTGGGAAGGCCGGAGACGCGAGAGATTTCTGTTCCGGGGACGAGCGAGAAGCACGGCCCACGGCGCCCGCACGCCCGGGCGCAGTGCGCGCGGGAGGACGCCCTTGCCCAGCTGCCTCTCACACACACACCTGGGACTCCCCACCTCCCGGGGGAGGGGGGGTGCCCAGGCTGGCCGCCCCTAGTTGTCGGTGCCCAGCTTGGAGAGGCCCCTGCGGAAGTCGTGCAGGTCGTCGATCTTCCCGTCCAGCACCTCCAGGAAGCTCTTCAGCTCCACCTTCAGGTGGCGCTGTCGATACCTACTCTCCTCAATGTCTGTCTTCAGCGAACGCACTTTGTCCTCCAGGTTCTGATTGTCTCTCTCTGCCGCCTGGAGCAACACAGAAGGGGGAAGAGCTTGGAGAACAGTGACGCGAGTCGTCCGTCCGCTGAGGCCCGCTCTGGCCACGCCCCCCACCGCCGGTGGCCTCCCCGGGGCGGGGTAGTCCCCCAGCACACGAGGCAAGGGGCATTTCAGCCGGCCTTTCTGTCCTGCCTGTCCCCCCGCAGAAGTGCCAACAAGACGCAGTGTACGATGGCCAACATCTGGCCTGAAAGACGACATTCGTGCGTGGAACGGAGAATACAGAGGCCTGCCCAGGAGCCCGGTGCTGACGGGCCTCCTCACACGTGCCCAGCAGAGAAAATCTGAAACCCCAGCAACAAGGCACTTTCCGCCCCTGTCCCTGCATGGTCAGCAGAGGCCCCCCCAGGTCCGTTCTGATGACCCTGACCGGCTGCTGACCCTGGGGTTGTGTGCATGGATGAAGGGCCCCTGGAGGGAGGGGACACCAGCAGGTAAAGGAGAAGATTAAAACCCTCCTTTCGTGGGTCAGAATCTGAGGCCAGTTGGGGGGGGGGCTGCTTCCAGGTCACGTGCAAGGTCACTGCCTTGGGCGTGGCAAGGTCAAACAGCACCCAGGTGTCAGGCCCTCAGCCCTTCCTCCTGCCCCCACGCCCCACCGCCCCTGGGGCTCTGCAGGGGCCTCTGTGGACCGGAAACAGTCAGCTGCACCGTGCTCAAGGCGCGGGGCCCCTTCGCGCAAGTGGAAAAACCGAAAGACTGATGCCCCTGAGCCTGCGCAGGTGGGCGGAGGTGGCCTCTGGCGCGCAGTCGCCGCCGCGCAGGAGGGGCGGGGCCTCGGAGGAAAGAGGAGCAGAACAAACGCCTTCCCGTCTGCGCGCTCCTCCCCCTCGTACCTCTAGCTTCTCAGAGACGTATTCACACTCGGACATGAGCTGAGGTATGATTTCACTCTGCTTCCGGAGGTCTTTCAACTCCTACAGGAGACAGGAATTTGGAGAAGAGTGCAAAAACGAGTCAGAGGAAATGCGTTCTGGAAAATCCTCCAGCTGGCGCCTACGGGACCGGAAGCAGCTTCTGCAACCTGCCCTGTCTGCACAAATAGCAACGGTGTGGCGTTAACACGGAACGCGCAGCAGACGCGCTGAGGGCTGAGCGCGCTGCACGCAGCACCGCTCGAGGCCGGCACGCCGCCGCCCTGGCGGACCGCGGTTCCTGCCGTCCCTGCGGTCCCTGCCTTGTAAAGGGGAAGCCGAGGCTGAGCGAGGCTGGGACACGTGCTCAGCCTCCGCTCCCGGGAAAAATAAACGACTGGAGGATTGCTGGCTCTCGCTGCGTTAATTTGACAGCAGAGTTCAACTTCTGATGACGGATCATTTAAAGAAAGTTTCCAGTTCGATTCCCAGTCAGGGCACATGCTTGGGTTGCAGGCCATGACCCCCAGCAACCGCACACTGATGTTTCTCTCTTTCTCCCTCCCTTCCCTCTCTAAAATAAATAAATACATAAAATGTTTTTTTAAAAAGAAATACTTTTTAAAAAAGTTTCCAAGCGTTTGGTACAATGTTCAATGCCCCCCCCCCCGCCCCCGCGGATGTGAGTGTCCGACCGCATAACGAGCACAGCGAGGAGGCCGCCGACTCGGGAGTGTTTGTGCCTCTTGTGACCCTGGGCTCTGTCTCTGTGCTGACGTCCAGGCAGCTGCCGGGGCCAGTCACACGCCCACAGTCGCCTGCTGTGTCCTCGGGCAGAGGTCACCCCGCCGTCCCAGGGGACCCCGAGGGGCACCGCTGGAGCGCGGGGACTCACCGTCTCCTTTTCCCGGAGCTCCGACTGCAGCTCCTCGATGCGGATCTTCAGCTGCGTGTTCTTCTCCTTCTCCCTGTTGATCTCGCTGCACTGCTCCTCCAGCTCGTCGATCTTGGGTAAACGTCACACGTTAAGTGGGGACGCCTAGTTTACTTTTGTGCATGAACAAGAGATCGCCGCCGCAGTGCTGCTTATGCTTTCCTTTAAAATAAACCACAAACTGGCCCACGTCTGTGTCTTCGTGCGGCCGCCAGGGGGCTGCTGGCCCGGCCGGCAGGAGACGCCTCACTCCCTTCCGGCAGAGCCACTCCAGCCACAAAACCCGGCCCTCAGAGGCTCTGGGCCCCTGGCTCCCCTCACGGCCACAGGACAGATGTCCCGAGAACCTGTCTGCTTCTCCCCAGAAGGATCTCATTTTAGTCACACCCTGAATCATGCTGTTTCAAGGGTTTGAGCCAGTGGGGAAGGCAACGGAGCACTGCAGCACCGTGGCCACCGCACGGGACGTGATGGCATTTCAAACGTTGTGAATCGAGGTGACCTTTCCCTGCTGATGCCCCGGAGCCCGGCCTGCAGGCCTCTCCCTGGGGGGGCGCAGGCCTGACCCCCAGAAGAAAGGCCAAGGCGGAGACCCCTGGCCCTGCCATCTGACGGTGAGTGTTTCGGGGGACCAAAGTGTGCGCACGCAGTCGGTAGGAGTGGAGCCCGTGTGTGACACAGAAGTGCCACGTTGGTGGGGTCCCCACAGCGACAGCAGTCCTCGGGGTGACTGCACGGGTGAGGGCAGTGAGGCCGCTTGCCAGAGGGGACCTGTACCCCCGTCCTCGGGGCGTGAGCCCCGGCAAGGAGCTGCTGGCGCTGCCTCAGCTCCAGACATGAGGACCCGGGGCTGCCCCTCAGGGAGGCTGATACGCCTCTGGGGGGGGGGGGCACTTCCTCCGCTCCCCAGCCCTGCTCTCTGGTTCCCACCCTTGAGCGCCAATCAGCTCTGCTTGGGCGAAGAAAGAAAGGGCCATCGATCCCTGTGGCAGGCGGATCAGCCGGCCCTGGAAGGGAGCCTGCAGCATCAGCACCTGGCCGAGTGCCCCTGGCTGTCAGCACTTTGGGCACTGAAACGTAAAAGCGACACCAGGCAGTTTTCTGTGCCATCTGCACCAAGCAGGGTCGCAACACCCGCGGTGACCTCCGGTGGCCCCGCCCAGCCAGGTGGGCAGGTCGCAGGGTGGGGGCTGGGAGCGACACCAATGTCAGTGTGGCATGTGCGCCCGATTTCCCGCCCTTACTGACCAGACCGTGTTCACGGCCCTTGGGGTGACCATGCTGACCATTAAAACATGGTCAGCGCAGTGACCCCGGGGCGGGGGGCGTTCTCAGGCCTCCCCGAACCGCCTCACCGACTCAGCCCACCCACAAGGACCCTGCGTGACTGCGGGGAAGGCTGCGGGGACTCCAGCCGAATCGCTCGTGTGTCAGGAGAGAAGAGGAGAGCAGCTGGCGCAGCACGGAGGCTGGCACCCGCCCACCTCCCGCTCCGAGGGCCGGGTTCCTTCTCTCCCCTCCACAGTCACATCTTCGGAAACGGGGGTTCGTGTGAGGGGGTCTCGGAGCAAACGCCCCTCCCCGTTTCCCGAATCTGTTTTCTTCACTCGCCCCCTGGATCCCCGTCCCCCACCTCGGATCTCACTGGACCGCGGAGAATGCCTGGGAAGGGCCATCCCCCAACAGAAGAAGTGGCCGACCCCCAACAGAAGAAGTGGCCGACCCCCAACAGGGGGCAGCAGAGGGCGCTGCCTGCAAGGGGCGCCGCTGCCGCCTCCCGCTTCTCCCTCCTGTGCGACGGGAATTACAGAACTCGGCTCAGGAACAGTAACAAGTCAGTTACCGAGAGGGAGGGGGGTCCGAAGGGGGAAGGTGGCAAGTCTGCCCCCCCCCCCCCGTCGGTGGGGATGACGGCAGAGTGGGGGGGTGGGGGGAAGGGGCCTGGCCGCCCCGCCCCCGCAGCCCCCAGCGGAACCCACCCTGTGCCGCAGCCGGTCGTTCTCGTCGCGGCAGATGGAGAACTGCCGCTTCCACTGCTCCACGCTGGTGGCGGACTCCTGCAGCGCCGTCGTCAGCCGCGCGTTGCTCTCCCGCAGGCTCTGCAGCTCGATCTCCCATTTCTTCACGTTGGCGGCGCTGCAGGGCAGGGGCCGGACGGTGACTGGTGACCCGGACGGCGCGGGCCGTCCGTCCCCCGGCCACCCCCTCTCCCACCCGCGGGCTGTCTGGGCAAGCCAGTGCCAAGAGGGGCTGGCCTCTGTCTTTCGTGCAAACCCGTCACCCTGCCAGGCTGTTTTCTCAAGGAATCGCTTCAGAAAAAAATAACAAAAACAGGATTCTTAGAAAGAGAAGGAAGAGCTGGGAAGAAGGCCGCAGGGTGAAGACTCCCCCTGCCCACTCCCCGCCCGGCCCTGACTCTGCACGCGACCCCTTCCTTCCAGGAACCAGCCTCACGGGCAGCGGCCCTGAGGTGCCACCGTGGGGCCCACCGTGGGGCCCACCCAGAAGCTCAGGGAAGCTCCCTCGCCCTCTGAACGAGGTCCTGCCCCAAGTCGTGGAGCCTGAGGACCCCGGGTTTCACCAACAGGTGACCGAGGGTGGTCCCACTGTCGCTGGCACCTCCGCAGAGCCTCTGAGGGAATCCGGGCTTGGGAGTCGAGGAGACAGCAACGGGGCCCCCCACCGAGGGCAGCCCCGGGGTTCTCCCCACGGGCCTGGGGGGCCCTCCACAGTGCCGCCAAACACCCGTGGTTCTCTCTGATCTTATGTGCTCGGTGCAGGTGCTTTTAAAAACACACAGACTGGAGCGGGGAGCCCTTTGCTCCAGAGGCTCCGAGAGCTTCCGTGTGCCGGCCGGGACCGGAGGGGCGGGCTGAGGCTGCCCCGGGGGCCGGGAAGGGAACTCGGCCAGGCTCAGGACAGCTCTGCTTCTGGAGGGTTTTTGCAAAAGTAAGTACGGCTGTATCGGAACAATCTGTGCTATCTTTCATCCCACGGCCTCAACGACCTGGGAACGCAACAGGGAAATATATGTTTTCGGCCTCAGACAATACAGACGAGAAAAAACCAGAAAGGATTATTATCTGATTAATTTCGGGACTGGTGCATGAGAACTTGAGCTGATTTTGGGAAATGGCTTCACCCCCCCCCCATTCCTATAATTTGCTTCTCCATTAAATTGGGATTTCAAAACACTTATTTTTAGGGCTGAAACGTTTTCATTCAGGCAGCTCCCTGTGACTTAAAACAACCAAAAATAGTCCTTAAATTGCCTGATGAGTAAGAAAAGAGACCGGTCACTGTTCTGTCCTTCAAAATGCCTGGCAAAACCCACAATCCAAATATGGTGGCTGGATCTAAGTAAGGGTCACGGTGCTTTCTGGAACCCCAGGCCAGGTCACAGGAATTATGCTGCAGAGACGGCCAGGCTGGCTGAGCTGAGAGGTGGGTGCCACCCCACTGCGTGCGCCGGGCAGCCAGACAGCAGCGTGGGCCTGCCGGCCTCCTCCAGCCGGGAGACAGGCCGGTCCCTCCCAGTCTCCCGAGGCGCTGCCCTGCTGGGCAGGACGCGGTCGGCAGGGACGCGCAGGGCGTGGGGAAGCCGCACCTGGGTTCTCAGCCCCCTCACCTCTGCGTCAAGGCAATCTTCAGCTTGTTGTTCTCGGACTTCAGGTGTGTGTCTGCCGGGCTCGCGTGGGAGGCCTTCTCGTCATCCGTCCCATTGACGCTGGATGCCTGCGGGGGAGATGGGGTCTCATAGCCAGGCTCCTGGCCAGAGTGGATGTCCCCACGGGCTCCTGAGGGTCCTCATGGTGGCAGCGAGGCAGGCACACGGGGACACTGTTTCTGAGTGGGGGAGAACAGCTCCCCTGACCAACACTCAGCAGTGGCCCACACGTCGAAGACATCGCGAATGAAGGACGAGGCCCAGTGGGAGGCGGGGCCCATGCGAGCCCCGACTCCGCGGCTCCGGGGCCAGAGGGCACCTGGGGCCGCGGCTCAGGCCGCCGCACGCACACCTCCCAGACAAACCTAATGCGCTTGGACAGCCGGTCCCCTTAAACAACACAGACAGAGCCACAAACTAGAAGAAGGGGAGAGATTTAGAATAAGGAACAAGAAACAGGGAAAGAGGGAAGAGAAAAAGCATGACGAGCTGACGCAACGTAAAAATCCCGGGGCGGCAGAGAGGAAGGCCCACACACTCATGGAAAGAACAGGACTCGGGCACGGATGTCGGCTGTGGCCGTCTCCACCACCACTCAGCACTGTCACGAACACTCCGAGATGCTTCTTTAAGAAGGCATCCCACGTGGCGGTGAAGTCTCCTCCGGCCTCGGATGGGATCTCAGCGAGACCTTATTTAGCCTCCAAATAAGCACAGAGGGGAAGGAAGGGACGACGAAGGGGAGGATGCACAAGTTTGACTAAGTTTGCATAGCTGCATTGCAAAAAAAAAAGTGCCTTGTACAAAACTAAATTGCCAACAACAACCCGGGGGAATAGCTGCTGCTAAACATTTGCAGATACCAAAGGCGGAATGTGAATACGGTTCCTCCACTGAAAACCCTCAGGAGAGAGGACGTGTCTGTGAGAGCTGCACACGGAGATGCTGACGGGTGACGTCACAGGCTGCCTGCGACTCGCTTTGAACCCAGGGGGAGGGGGAGGGAGGCACAGAAGGAACAGCCGGCCGCACATGCCTGACTGTTAAAGCCGGCCTGCGGGTTCACCGGGGCACGCACTACGGAATCCTGCCTAGCTCTGTATACGTTCAAAAGTATCCACGTTGTAAAATAAAGTTCTTGGCCCTGACCGGTGTGGCTCCGTTGGCTGGGAGTTGTCCCGCAAAGCAGAAGGTCGCTGGTTTGATTCACGGTCCAGGGCACATGCCTGGGTTTCAGGTTTGGTCCGGGTCAGGGCGTGTACGAGAGACAAGCAATTGATGTTTCTCTCTCTCTCCCTCCCTTCCCCTCTCCCTAAAAATAAACGAAATCTTGTAAAACAATGAAAAATACGCAGTTCTTGGAAATCAACACAAAAAGATCAACACTCTAATTTTTTAAAAGGGAATGACTACGCAATTGACATTCATAGAAAACAATGCATAGCCCTGGCTGGCGCAGCTCAGTGGATTGAGCGCGGGCTGTGAGCCAAAGTGTCGCAGGTTCGATTCCCAGTCAGGGTACATGCCTGGGTTGCAGGCCATGACCCCTACCAACCGCACACTGATGTTTCTCTTTCTCTCTTTCTCCCTCCCTTCCCTCTCTAATAAATAAATAAATAAATAAATAAATAAAATCTTTTTAAAAAAGAAAACAATGCATAAATCAATTAAGAAATACAAAATGACAAGGGCCAATAAAATACATTTTTCTTCTGTGAAATCAACGAAATTGCGCTGGCGAGGGTGTGGGGCGAAAGAGCGCCCTCCTTCCTGCTGGTGGGAGTCAGAACTGCATGTTTCTGCCGGGGAAGTCGTCCGAGTTCATCGAAAGCTTTTAAAATATCCGTAGTCTTAACGGAAAACGTCCACTTCGAGAACCTCCCTGCGCAGAGATGCGCGAGAATGCTCATCGCAGTGTTGTCCACAGTGACAAAGTGTCAGAGACCACACAGACGGCCCGCACCCCGGGATGCGGAGGGGGTACGTTCTGACACACACACACACACACACACACACACACACGGGACGCGGTCTCACCGTTAGGCTAGTTTGACAAAGGGACGTGTGCAGACACCCGAGGCAGTGACCGTGACTTAGAGGGAAGGAAGTTATCGGGAACGCTCCTGTCCGCTGAGGTCTAATGTGCAGTCCCTCCCCGCATCCACAAGGGGCACCTTGTATGCAAGGCGCCCAGGACACTGTAACTCAGGACAGACCCAGCTCTGCCCTCATGGAACACCTGAGCCACCCAGTCTCCCGTCCTGAGAGTCGGTCAGGGAGGCCGGCAGACCCCGGGCCCCCTCCCTGGCGCTCTCTCCCCTCCTTTCTGCAGCACTGACACGCTGAGTGGGCTCCTTCCTGGGCTTCGGTGATGGTGGGACGACTTCTCTGCCTCCCTGGCTGGCTGCCCGCCCGTCACTGGGTTCCCTGCCCGAGGCTCCAGCTCTAGCCCCGCCCCCCCACTGCTTCTTGGTGAACCTGAGGCTTCCGCTCTTTCCTCTGCGGGACCATCAATCGCAACTGCTCGCGGAGCCCAGGCCTCCTTGCGCTCTTTCTAGCAGCGTCTCCGACATCCGTCCCTTCCTCTTTAGTCCCGTGGCTGCCCTGGCCGGGCCACTCTCCACCCCACAGCGTCCTCACTGGTCCTCCGCTGCGCACCTGCGTGCAACCCTCGCGTCAGTTCCAGATCGGCGGCCACGAAACACCTCCGGCGCCTGCCGACTGCTCAGTAATAAGTCATCGAATTAAAGACGAATGAATAATAAAGTAGCTACCGCGGAAGAATTCCAGGTCTTTCGCAGTGTCTCCGAGTGCATCTCTGTCTCTCCCACGGCACACCCCAGCCCCAGCCCCACAGTGTCCTGGCCCTCCTGCTGTCACACTCCCTCCATCCCAAACCGAAATCGTTGCTCCTGACGTCTGCCTCGCCCTGTCTCTACCTGTAACCTTGGCACTAGGTCCAGCCATCTGCCCACCACTACGTGCACCAATTGAGACAACAGGAATGCGGTGGGGGGGCGTTATTTCAGGTTCAAGCAGGTCCATCTTTGTCAGTCATCATGCTTGGGGAGGCCCCCTCTCCTTCAGCTGCACGGGAGCCGTTGGAGTGCCACCTCCCACCCGACTTCCGTGGGAGACAGGGGCAAGGGCTCGCTGGCCCGGCACAGGCACCGGCCCTTGCCAACGAGCACCCCCTTCCCGCAGACCCCACCGCCCACCCGGGGAAGGGAAACCACTGCCCCGTCCCTGGGACGGGAACGGGGGCCAGAGGGCGCCTCTCAGGGGCCAGGGACGGGCATCGCCCTAATCTCCACAAGTGTTTCCATTCAAAAGCACATCGCCACGCCCCGAAGGAGTCAGGAGCTCGTACACACGTGTCCGGTGCCCCCACTCCGCGTGGGCAGGCTAACAGGGGAAACGCCCTCAAAACGCCGTGCTGCTAAATGCCCTCTCTCCCGTCGATGTGACGAGGACCCCTGTGCCCAGCAGGACTCGCCCTCGGGTTTGTGCCGGGGACAAGCCACTCACCTGAGAATGGTTGCTGGAGGTCTCGATCTTCTCCTGCGACTTGTCCCGGGCGAGTCTGGCGGCTTCCTTCACCTCCTGGAATTTCTCTGCGAACTGAACACGGAGGGCGGTTATTGAGGTTCTTCCTTCTGGCCCTCACCTGTGGCTGGTGTTCAGACCCCACCTCTCCTGTCCTGCATCCATGTCGGGCCCATACATGCTGTACAAACACAGGGGAAGGATTTTACTTGAGATCAAAAAAGGGAATGAGCATGAGGAACGCTTGCTTCTCCCAGTAAACACCGTTGGCCGAGGTCCGACCCAAATCGGCGCCCAAGCTGCTGAAGCCGGTCTGAGGAAGAAGGACCGAAACAAGCACCTCTGGCCACCAGGACCTAACACAGACACAACAGGAGGAATTTAGCCGTGCCACAGAAGGAATCTGAAAAACCACCTAATTCCTCTAGAAAGATCCAAGAACTCTTACAAGTCAACATAATGAAAAACACAAACGTCCAAACAGTTGGGAAGAAGCAACCGTTCTAAGTGTTACATGCTTAAGGTATAAAATACCAAAATTGAAAGTAGCAGAATGAGACAGGTGGTCTGTGGCTGAACCCCGAACCCTGTTTTGAAGGGGCCAGCTGTACGAACTTCTGGGGAACAAGTGGGGAAATGTGACCGGGGACCAGAGTAGACAACATCAAGGAATCGCTATTCATGTTACTAAAAGTGCGAACAGTGTTATGATTATGTTGACAAAACGTCATGCCTTTAGAAATAAATTCTGAAGTGTTGAGGCGTGAAATGCTTTGATGCCTGTAACGTCAAGTACTTCAGCAAAACAGCAAAGAAATGTGGCAAGTATTAACAACTAGGCGATATGGACATGAGTGTTTGTTATACTGTGCCCTCTAATTTTAAAAAAATGTTTTACTATTTTCATAATAAAAAATGTTCTTAAACATCCCAGGACAATCACGCCAATTGCAGGTTACCGTCACCGACAAGGCGACTGATTTTAATTAGCACGTACATTGTTCAAACAGAGCACATTCCATGACGGACGGCGCTGGCAAGACTAAGCGGGGGAGCTGCGTGTGGTTGCCGAGAGACGGAAGAAGCGAGCAAGCGGCAAGGCTCCCGACAGCGCTGGGGCTTTTGCTGAGAACGCACTGGTTTCTGGGCGCAGGCTCCCCTCCGAGCACGCTCACGGCCGTCCCTGGACATGCGGGCACAGCCGGTTTCACGCCAGGATTGAGCACAGGCGGAGTGACACCAGGACTGGACGCTAGTGTCCCAGGGACGCCCAAACCTGACCTCAGCCGGCCTTTCAGATGAGGGCAAAGGAACCACGCTGGACTCAGTGTCCTCATCTGTGAAATGGGCGTGACGGCACCGCCTCCCTGGACCGCTGGACGACGAGAGGTGGGGCTTTGCCAGGCCTGTGGCTGGGGCTGGACAAAGGGGAGGGAGGCCGCGCCGGCCTGGACCCGACCTCTGCCCACCAGTGGAATGGCGGCCCGGCCTTGGACCCATGGGCGGGGGTAAAAGAGCTCCACAGGAGGGCAAGGCCATTCCTCCGGGAACGTCGACTTGTTTCTTTACGTGCTGAGGATGCTGCAGGGTTGGGCTCCTGTCTTCGAAGGGACTGCCAGTCTGCAGCAGATTCTGTTTTACATTCAAGTGGGCGGTGATTTTTAAACAGTCATAAAATAAGCTTAAAATGTCATGAAGCAGGATAAACCCAATCAGACAAATTAAAAAAAAGTAATCACTTAGAAAGATGTGGTATTAGCAGATGGATGATGAAACAGGCCCCACCATTTATATAAAATTTAGCGTATGACAAAGGAAGAATAATAAATGAATGGGGAACATTATCCAACATATAATTGAAATAACTTTAGTAAACTGGGGCAAAATGAATTTAAATCCTTACCCATGGGTTAAAAGGATAAGTGTTTAAAAAAAATCAAAACCTTAAAACATCTGCATGCAAACAGAATTGAACATTTATCAAAATTCTGCTTAAGGAAATGAAAGGGTAATTTTCTAAACGTGGAAAAAGTTTTTCAAACATCACAAAGGTGACAGATTTGACGCCATGGTAACGGAAAGCTTTGGACTGACAGAGGGGAGAGACTAACTCGGGGCGGGGGGGGGGAGGACCCGCCTGCGGGAACAGCACAGCTAGACCGGGAGACGGGAAGGAGCCTCGTCCCCAGCACAGAGACTCTGTGCAAACTTCTGTTTCCGGACTGTAAGAGAAGCCGTATTTAGAAAGTCACAGAGGTAGCAGCCGTGAGCCGGCGGGGCTGCGTGGGCTCAGGAAACAAGTTACAGAAGCAGAAGAAGGGTCCCTGGAGCTCCGGAGAGGGAAGGGCAAAGGTCAGGCACCTGCAGGGAAGAAAAGGGCCACGGGGAAGCTGCCTTCGTGCTCCCGAGAGAGAGGGAGAGCACCGAGGGTGTGCACATTGAGAAGGAAAATAGGAAAACCCCCATAGAGAAATGGCAACATTCGTGAATAAAAAAATACAAAGTAAGCAACTTAGAGAAAAGAATGCTCGGCTCTGCTGAAAATGCAAATCACAATAACGAGGTCCCACTCTCCGGCTGCTACATGAGCAGACCCTGAGCGCGGTGATAACAACACCGGTGCTGGCAGGACGCCTCGGTCAGCGCTGTGGGTCGGTGCGGCCCCCCGAGAAGCAATTTGGAAAAAGGTATCGTGAGTGAAAAAAAAAAATCCTCGGGCCCACTGATGTAGTGATGTCACTTCTGGGAAACTGTGCTGTGAAAATAATTGAGAATAGGAAGAGAGGCTGTCAATATGCTAAGGTCCTAGATTTATCTGCCATAAGGAAACCCTGGAAGCAGCCCAGACGCCCGGGGAGGCGCTCCCCTCACAGCCAGCCCCCGACCGTTCGAGGAGATGTGCTCGCCGCCGAGAGGTGCCAGATGGCTGTCCTTTGCTAGAACACCCCCTCCCTCCAAGTCTCAGGGTTTGTAATATTAATAAAAAGGCACCTGTGCTTATAAATTTAGAAAGCACCTTTAGAAAAAGGTGTTTTAAACCTATAGTCCCATCGCCCAGATATAAACAGTAAATCTCATCAACTTCTGATCTTCTTCTATCTGTATCCATACATCCGTGACACATATTTCTTTTTTTTTTACTTTATTTTTATTTATTTTTAGAGAGGGAAGGGAGGGAGAAAGAGAGAGAGAAACATCAATGTGCGGTTGCTGGGGGCTGTGGCCTGCAACCCAGGCATGTGCCCAGACTGGGAATCGAACCTGGGACACTTAGGGTCGCAGCCCGCGCTCAATCCACTGAGCTACACCAGCCAGGCACACATATTTCCTTTAAAAATGAAATTACATTGTATCTTATTTTATAGCTACTTTCAAAATGGCCAGCGTGGCGTTCACACTCCCATGCAGTCACGGGACCTTCTGCTGGCCCATCTGGATTGCGGTGAGTAGCGTTATCCAGAAGGACACACTGGAACTCATGTAACGAACTTCCTGCTGCTGGGCATTCAGGCTCATGGGGGTTTTTTGTCTGTTGTAAATGATGCTGCAAGGAGAATCCTCACAGCTGAACCTCTGTACGCAGATACAATTATTTCCTTAAAATAGACGCCTATAAATGAAACCAATGGGTCAAGGGACATTCAAACCACAACGGTGTCTGAAATGCAGGCCAGAATCTCATTTTTTTTTTTTTTACTTATTAGGATCATTTTCTGCAGTGGTAATGTAATAATTTTAACCAAAATAAAAATCATCATTATCATCCTGGAAAATGGAAGACTATTATTTTATTTTACTTGTGGTTTTTTTTTTTTTGGCTTTGGCCATTGGAGACATTATGGCGTACATTTCCTGTTTGCTTAGTCAAAGTCCATTTCTTTTTTTTTCCCCCTTAGCTTAATAGAATCTCAAATATCTCCGGAGCAGGAAATTTCCTAGGTGATGAAGAATGAGAACTGGTCTACGGCGACCATGGCAACCCAATGGCCTGCCCTCTTTTTTTTTCTGGGGGGCCGGGAGGATGACCCAGGGGCCGGAGCTCACAGTGGGGCCTAGGAAGACGTCTGTCTGTCAAGGGAGTTTATGGGGAAGCTGGTGTGTCACCCCCCTCCTTCCTCCTGCCGCGAATGCAGGCGTGAGGGACAGAGTCTGAGACGTCATCTGACACCGGGAGGGAAGGGCCGACAAAGAAACACACACACAGAACCCCCAGGACCCTCAGACCCCACAGCAGGGGGCCACCGCGTGCCTCCAGGTGTCTCCTCCGCCCCTTCCCTCCGTCTCTTCTGCATGGAAAGAGCAGCTCTACGGCTGAGGCACGCGGAGCAGTTTCAGCCACTTGCAGCCGAAGCACGACAACTAAAACGCCAGGGATTAACGCCTCCCGTTTAAGCAATGGCTCTTAAATCGGGAGGCAGAGAGGCCTGAGACAGGGCAATGTTCTTACAGCGACGCTGGCTTAAAGGGAACAGGAGGGGCCCTGTCTGGTGTGGCTGGGGGGGTGGGGGGAGGTTGGGCGTTGTCCCGCAGAGCTAAAGGTCGCCAGTTCGATTCCCGGTCAGGGCACAGGCCAGGTCCGTGGTTGGGGGGCAGGGGAGAGGCAACGCGTCGATGTTTTCCTCCCTCTCTTTCTCCCTCCCTCCCCCTCTCTCTAAAAACAAACCAAATCTTTAAAAAACAAATAAAAAAATAAAGGGAACGTGAGGGCACAAATCCGAATCAGAGACGAAATAACTGCAATGGGTCGAAAGCAAAGGCCGTGTGTGCGCGAAGGCCCCGCGCGGAGCACGAGCGCCCCCACCCGCCTCTCCCGCGTCACTGCGGCGGAAGGGTTGCCCGCCGCCCGCCGCGAACGGGCTGGTACCAGACGTGGCCGGTGACCTCTCAAGGTCAGATGCCAGACGCATCCTAACCTGTAACAACTGGCTCGTTCTCACACTTGGCCTTCCTTCCTCAAGCTCGTCCTTCCACCGGAACACGCCCGCGCCCCCCGGCGGTCTTCAGCAGGCTGAGCTGTGGTGTCCCCCCCACGTGGGCGGGCAGGCGAGCCCCAGTTCACCCCCGGGAACTCGCCGCGTGCATTGTTTCCGGAGAGCCCTTCTACAGAGCAGAGGGTCCCTGCAATGCCTGCTGGCTGGCGGTGTGAAGTGGCCCTTATCACGGGAGCGCGAAAGGTCAAGGTGCCTGTTTTCTTTCCGGGGCGTGCAGAGAGGAGTGTGAATAAATGCTCTTACAGGAGAACATCCACACCAGCGTTCCCTTTTCTGGGGTGGTTCTAGGGTTCGATGACCAAGTCCCCTTCCAGGCCCGTGGGCGGCTGCTCTGTGGCGTCGGGAATATCCAGCCACAGCTGTCCCCTCGGGGCACCCCGCCTTGGGGACCCTTGAAGCCCACGTTCTCCTTTGCCGCTTAATTGCCTGCCACTTGCCGAGACGGCCAGCGTCACTCCTCGGTGATTTATCAGCGTGGGGCTAATGGCTCCCTTCAAAGAGAAGGGAAGAGCTGATTTGAAGTGTCGTGGGGAAAGGAGACATCTGAGTGCTCATCTGACGAGTCTTTGTGACAACCGCAGGCCACCGCCACGGGGCAGGGACTCCAGTATCCGGCGCCCGGGAGGTAGGTGGAGGGACTGGGGCGGACAGGCACTCCTCCTTAATGACGGGACATTTTCTTCTGTCGGGGACAAGTGACAAGTGGCCGCACTTGTTAGCAGGCATGGCTCAAGGTCTCTCCGGTGCTCAGCGGCACGGAAAACGGAGCTTTGACAACATGTTCCCATTTCCGTTTGGCGTTCTTGCTTCACCCCACTCTTTCCATGGAAATGTTCCCCCTTTATATCCCTCCTCCTTTGATCCCCCAGAGGCTGAGGAAAGTGTTCCGGGCAGCCAGGACCGATGCTTGCAGACCGCCCCGGGTGTCTGTGAGTGCAGGCCCTGGGCGGGACCCGGGGTGTGCGACCCGAGGTGGCCCAGCCAGGACCGTGTGCGTCTCTGACGGAGTGCCCTCTCACCCCTGCCCGGTGGTCCGAGGCTTCCACCCGGTCAGGCTGGACGGGGGGCGTGGGAAGGGGCCACTTGGCAGGGCAGGGACTGTCTCACCCCCGCCGCCCCCCAACGAGGCACAGATTTGGGTGGAAAGGTAGGCAATCCTCACAGCCCGATTTAGACAGAGGTTCTGGTGTCATTCTTTCAAGAAATCGCCATCATCCTTATTTCCACTTCGAGTGCATTTCCTCTGATTCTCTTCATTTCAGAAAACAGCAGCCCTGTCTTCCCCGAGGCCTGGGTTTTAAGCTTTCCCTCGGGTTTCTTGGGCTGCTCTGGCATCCGTCCAGTAAGTTCCCATGTCACATGAATTAGCCAATCCTGCTGCCAACGGACACATTCTTACCAGCTCCAGAGCGCTCTCTGGCCATCCTACAAGGAAACCTGCCTTCCTGAAACGAGGGTTCGGCCCCTCCCAGGAACCGCGGGGGGCCTCTCAGCCCTCCGCCCCGCAGCCTCCAAGCCCTCCAAGCCCGTGACCAGTGGTCAGACGCCGCTCCACACCCCTGAGCAGCTGCACCAGCTTGCCCTCGACTCCTCGGAGACGCAAGTCAAGGCTGTGAGCCCTCTCCCCAGGGAGAAGCCACGCACGCACAAAACACCGTGTGACGTGCAAACGGTGCGGGGACTGCAGGCTGAAACTGCTATTAGGTGGCACCGCACTCCCGTCGCGAGGGCCCCAGCCGGAGTCAGCGGTGCGGGCACCGGACACGGGCCCAGGGCGCAGGCTGACCCGTGGGGCGGGAGCCCGGGCAGAGCTGGTGCTCAGGCTCTGGAGCAGCCTTTGTCAGGGAAGCCTTGTGCTTCCCTCCCCCTCACAGTACCCCCACTGCCAGGAGCCTGAATTTCCCCAGGGTCCGACGGCCGGGCGGCGCCAGAAAGGGCGGAGCTGCGGGCCGAGAGGCAGCCGGCTCGGCCAATCAGCGGCTCGCCCCGTGCTGCGGCGAGAACCCCCCCGCCCCCTTACCTTGGTCAGCTGCAGCTCCGACGAAAACCCCAACCCGAACACCGTGTTGGCTCTGCTGTCGGCCCACTGCCCGAACTTCTGCGACGTTTTGGTGAAAGTCATATTGGGCGTGATTGTGCTGTTGATAATCACCTGCGGGAGAGCAGACCGGGGAGCAGGGACGTGAGCGCCGAGTCACACGCCGCAGGGGGCGCTCACGGAGTCTGGGGTTGGCGAGGCCGGGCCCAGGCGCAGAGCAGGCGCCGCTGCCCTCCCGCCCGGGTTCCCCCGCCGGACCGGTTCCTCCGCGGGCCCCTCCCAGGTCGAGGGCCCGTGTCTGGGACCCAAAAACAGACTGCCAGGCGACATACAGCGAGGCCTTACAAGTGATCGGTGGGAGAAAGTCTCCCCTGAGTAGGTTTTCCAAAACTGCTTTTCGCTTCCCCAAAGCGGCCCTGCCGCACGTTCCCAGAAGAACGTCAGGTACATTTTTAAGTACCTGGTGCCCCCGTGTCCAGCTCAAACAACTTCGAGTCTCCATGAGCAGTTGGGGCTTGCTGCCTCCCAACAGAAAGGAGAGGACTCACCCCAAATGGGACAATTTGGGGAGGGCTGCCTTACAGAGAGGCTAACCACACGGGCGTGAGCTGGTGTAGGGAGCTGTGAGGGGCTGTGCAGGGACCTCGTGCTGGCCGCGACCCCTCCTTGGCCTACAGGGAGCTCACGGTGACCCCACAGGAGGTAAGCAGCCAGACAAACCCCTCGCCGCCCTCCCTTTGATCTCTCGCCACGGGCCAAACCCAACCGGAAGCCAGAGGCCCCCGGAGCCCAGTGAGGGAGCCTGCAGGTCAGCCTCTCAGGGGCCAGGGCGGGGTGACGAGGGGCAGAGAAGGAATCTGAAGGGGGGAGGGGACGACACCCAGCACATGGAGCGTGCACTTGTCCCCCACACACTTCCTGGGTGTTTACTGAGTGCCGGGCGTTCTGCCCACCGCAGGCACAGGGGGGACGGAGTCCAGGTCCCTGCCCTTCCGGCTGCCGGGGGGTCAGGAAGGGGGCAGAGACGGGTACACAGTCACCAAACAATCGGTGTGTTGTGCGGTGCCAACGGTAAGCTTACTCTGGCAGGAACCCTCGGAAGCCCTGAGACTGTAAGAAACGCTCGAGAAAAACGCCCTTGGACGTGAGGGATTCTCGGATGTTTGCTAACCAGCACAGCTCAGCGGCCACTTCCTCGTCGTGTGGTTTCTCATGGTCTGAGCAGGGGCAGTGGCAATCTGAGTAAATTCTCTGAAGAACAAAGTTACTAGCAGCTTTGTTTGTGAAGGCTACATTTACGCTCAACAGTAAACTCTGAACACTTTTTTTTAAATGGATAAAACAAGGAAGAGAAAACATTTTTGAATGGCAGAGCCTTGCTCTCTCCTTGGTAGGGACTTCAGTCAACCAATGTGCTCAAGGACAGGCCTTCTGGACAGATTCCTACCTTACTTAATAAAGGCACCAGGGCAAGAAGTTACAGTTGTCACCAGCAAAAGTGTCATTGCGATGTATATGCCCAAGAGCCTGCTGAGTTTGCCCATGAGGCCCACGCTCAAGAATAAACCCTACTGCCGCTAGGAAAACAGTTTTTTTGTTACAAAGTTAATGTTAGTTGCAGCAAGCACTGTGTATGGAGCAGCACTGAGCGCTGTGCCTATGTCAGCTGGGTTGGACCTCACCGCAGGGCCACGAGGCACGGCCACCACCATCTCACCGGAGGAGGAAGGGAGCGGGGAGGAGCAGAAGAGAGGTTATCACGTTTATGAGGAGAACCGAGCCTCCCGCCGTCTTGGAGGTCTGTCTTTTCCTCTCCCCGCACACCTGAGCGGGGCGGGCCCCACGGCAGACCCAGGGCAGACGAAGGTCTGCCGCTCCCTGAGCACCGATGGCTCGCCTCCCGGGAGGAACTCTTCGCCAGAACTCTGCAGTGGGGTGTCTTTGTCCCCCGCACTCCCTCCGGGACAGGCCTGCTCGGAGAGGGAGGGAGCATTGCCTGGATCCGGGTTCGGCACGGCTACCTCTCACTCTGTCACCCACGCCAGGGTGTCCGGGCGTGCGCCAAACACGGCCTGCAGGATCCCCCAGGCTGGAGGGCGGCCGAGACGGTAAAGGAAGCCGGCTCCTTGCACCGTGCTGCTCTTGCCACCCTTCAGGCTGGGGTCCTGCAGGCCGTGCAGCGCCCTGCCCGTCTCCTGGCTGCTCGCCGAAGGCTCCGGGCCTCCTGCGACGTCCTGGATCCAGGGAGCAAGAAGGGGCGGAGGCGGCAGACAGGGGGAGAAAAACCATCATCTGCGTCTAGAGGGTCCTTCACCTTCCCGCGACGCAGCAGGGGCAGCGCGTCTGAACAGTCTCGAGGCTCTGACAGTCAGCCCGCCGCTACCGGCGGTGAGACAGCCCTGGCTGCTCTCCAGGACACCCGGCGGGCGCGCTGACCTTCTCCTAGCGCCAGACTGACAGCGGGGTGGGGGGGGGATCGCGCCGTCAAAAATGCCCCGCCCCCAGCACGCGGTCAAAAATGCCCCGCCCCCAGAGCCTCCTCCATTCATGTCCTACCAACAGGGGCGCTCCACCCTGCGCCACCACCCTGGGCTCTGCCACCAAGCCCAAGTCCTCCTGAGAAGCTGGCCAGAGGACGCTCCGACGGCTGGGCCCCTTCTGGGTCCCTGGGCCACCTGTGGCCGGCCGCTCCTGCACCTGGAATCCCCCTAACGCTTCTGTGTCTCTCTGAGGCTCTGACTCACTGGCGCCTCTGGCCCTCCCCAGCGTGCGTGAACAGGGGAAAGGAGGTGCGCGCGGATGAAAGGGCCTTTTGTCTGCGCTCGGTCTGCGGGGGTGAGTGCCCCATTCAGGTGTGTGTGTGTGGGGGGAGGGACATCCTGGGGCTGGAGGTGAGGAGACAGGACCTGGGCACAGCGGGAGGCTTAGTTCTGGGCAGGTGAGGGGAGCCCTCTCTTGTGAGACTGGAGACAACAAGGGCATCAGTTACAAGCTCAATTTCACTGGTCATGTGGAAATAACGTTACCATGATTATATACTCACCAAATGCAACATACGTCTGAGGATACTGGGGGTGGGGCGAGAACAGGGAATGATGGGAAAATCCACTGTGAAAAACAACGTGGCTTTCTCTGATAATGTTAAAAATGCACATTCCAGCCCTGGCTGGCGTAGCTCAGTGGATTGAGTGCGGGCTGCGAACCAAAGTGTCCCAGGTTTGATTCCCAGCCAGGGTACATACCTGGGTTGCAGGCCATGACCCCCAGCAACCACACATTGATGTTTCTCTCTCTCTCTCTTTCTCTCTCCTTTCCCTCTCTAAAAATAAAAAAATGCACATTCCTCATCGCCCAGCAATCCCAGGGCTCAGTGGATACCCAGGAGAAAACTTTGCATAGATAAACAAGGGGGAATGGACAAGAATGTTCACACTAGCAGTGTTTGCAAAATAAATGAATAAAAAATACAGTCCACCACCGGCTGAATGGACCAGCGGTGGTACATGTAAGCAGTGGAACGCCACCCAGCAGCGAGAATGAACCAAGGCTGTGGGCATCAACTTGGACAAATCACAAACATTTAATAGGAAGCAAAAAATAAATAAAAAGGAAGTCAACAAAAGACAACAGATAGTATGGGTCTCCAGTATGATTCTATTTCGATAAAAGCCCCGAACATGCGAAGATAAATAATAGATTACTTAGCGTAAGGATCACCCAACTAGTAGCTCTCTGGCCAGGTCCACCTGCAGTCTGTATTTGTAAATAAAGTTTTATTGGCACACGGCCACAGCCATTGGCTTCTGCCCTGACTCATGGCCGTCTTCTTGCGACAAGAGACAAGCTGAATAGCGGCCACAGACTCCACCGCTCATTAAAAAGTTATTATCAGCTACATGGTAATGGGAAAAATACATAAAAGTAAATTTAAAAGAATCACTACATCCTGGCTGGCATAGCTCAGTGGATTGAGCGCGGGCTGCGAACCAAAGTGTCGCAGGTTCGATTCCCAGTCAGGGTACGTGCCTAGGTTGCAGGCCATGACCCCCAGCAACCACACATTGATGTTTCTCTCTCTCTCTCTATCTCCCTCCCTTCCCTCTCTAAAAAATTAAAAAAAAAAAAAAAAAAAGAATCACTACCAGCCCCTTCAGAGGAAAAGTCTGCTGGCCTCTGGCTTGGGGGTACATGCACAGACAGCAAAACTAGAGAGAAAAGTGTGGGGGTGCTTCGCACGAATTCCAAGCGAGTGGCAGCCCCACGAGGGGCGGTTGGCAGGGGCATGGCCTTGGGGAGAAGCCCAAAAGGGACGCTGAGGCTGGGTAAAGGGTGGGTCTCCTCAGCCGGGTGGCGGGCACACAAGTGTTCACTCTTTTTATCAGACGTTAAATGGTGCACACAAACAGTGACAATCAAGTACAAGAAAACTGTAACAAAGTTGTCGGGGCAGCTGGGGCCCGCGGTGAGCAGAGGCCGGGAAAAGAGCAGGTGGTCCCTGCCGCACACCGTGCTGGGAAACCGTGCTGGGGGCAGAGGGAGCGGCTGGAACTGCGGGTTCCAGCCTCAGGGCGGGCGGGGGGCAGGAGGTGGGGTGCTCAGCCGTCTGTGGGTGACAGGAGTGGAGGGTGTCACCCAGTGGGAGGGGACGCAAGGGACCTTGCTGTCGCCTGTGCTCAGCCCTTCCTCTTTTGTGAGCCGTCTCCGGAGCCTCCCAGGAAAAGGCAGGTCCCCGCAGATCCAGGACCCCGTCCGCAGAAAATGCACAGAACGCCTGTCCCGAGAACTGCTTGGGAGAAGCAGACAGCTACGCTCCCCCAGACTCCAGTCCTCCTCCGGGCTTAGAGAAAGCTGCTTGTCCCCAAGTGGGAAAGGGGTCCCCAAAATTCCTTTCCATGGCGTCTTCCCCAAATCTGGGGAGATGCACGTTAGAAGAACTCGGATGTTTTCTGCAAGAGGCCGGGGCCGAGTCGCAGCGATGGAAAGGCATGTTGTCTGTTTCCAAAGCGGGTGTTAACAGATGCTTTCCCCCCTTTGTTTCCACCGCAGTCCGTGGGGGGAGAAAGAAACCGACCTTCACTGAAAACCCGCTGTGTGCCGAGAACCTTCCCGACGCTTGCTCCGTGCACAGAAGGCGCCTGTGTTTACCCAAAAGAGGAAACTGCAGCGATGGCGGAGGAGGGGGCCCTGGCTGTGTCCCTGCACGCGACTGCACATTTCCGGAAGAACATACCGACCGAGCCAGACTTCAGAGGCTACAGCCTCAGGGCAGCCACAGTCAGGCGGCACTGGGCACCCAGCAGATGCTGCGAAACCCCTGCAGAACACACAGCCGGGCAGGCCCCTCTCAGTATGGGTGTCTGGGACCCTGTAAGGAGCTGGGAACCCAGGGCAGCAGCGTCCCCCAGAGCACCCGGGAGAAACGCCCGTCCTGGGCAAGTCTGATCCACAGGTGTGGGCAGGTTCTCCCAGGGACGGCAACGAGCGCAGTGATCGGCTCCTCTGCGAGAGTGCCAGCAGCGCAGAGAGCCCGAGTGCCGGGAGAGCTCAGTGAACAACCGCTCCGCAAAGGGCGTCCTTTAGAACGGAGCCGGCGGTGCTGTCCAGGACCCGCCCTAGATCGCGTGGCTGTGGGTGCTGCCACGGCTGGTATCATCCGTGCTCCGGGAGGCTGGGTCTGTGCAGCGCCCTCACGCAGCCCCCAAACCCAGCCGTCTGTCCGTGTGCGGGGCTGACCCCGGGTGACCTTCCGAGGCTCCGATCCCGGGTCTGGCATGGGGCTGGGGCTCCAAGGACAAGCCGGACCTGGTTCCCAGTCCTCAGAGAGTGCCGCCCGCCCCCAGGCAGCCTCACGCACAGAAATGGGTCCACGTTACCCCCTGCCGTCGGGCAGCGCTGGGCAAAGCGTGGCGGCATTCCCGCCTGTGCGCGGCTCCGGCAGCAGCTGGGACCGACACGTGAGGTGCTTGCTCTGGGCGGGAGGAACGTCGCACGTCGTGTTGCAGGGAGAAGGAGAGGCAGGGCTGAGCGCAGCCTCGCCCTGTGACCAGCAGCACCGAGTGCTCTCAGGGGCGGGGGCGGGGGGGCCTTCCACGCACCCGAGTCAACAGGACGAAGGGCTGGAGGAGCCTGAGCAGAGGAGCCTGCTGCGCCCTGTGTGGAGTCTGCAGTGGCAGCGGCTGACGCTGCTGGCTGCACCCCCTCCCTTCCCGGGGCTCACGCCCTGCAGGCTGCCCGCACCCAACTCCACAGCCGAGCGCGCTGTGGTCTCTGCTCACCACGACCTCCCAGGCCCCGCCACACCAGCGCCCTGTTCCTCCTTCACGTGGCGGGGTGCAGCGGGCCGCCCCTCCAGCCTCCTGCCTTGGGAGGGGCGGCTGGCCCAGACGCACCCAGGAGGCTCCCGGTCATGGACTTGATATGGTCAGGCTGACAGAGAGAGGCGGGCCCTGGGCCCTAGACTTGCCCAAGGGCAGAGGTGCAGCCGCTGAGGGAGGACGTAGCCCCAGCGGCTAAAAGCATCTGACCCTCTGCCATCTCGGTTCAGACCAACATCTGGGACCAAAGGCCTCCACCAGAGCGGGCCGTCCCGATGGGGCGGTGGGGTGGGGCGGCGGTGGCCAAGGGCAGCCAAGAGCCCTGTTCAGTGCACCAGCTCAGGACGCTGCGCCCCATTCCAGTCCCTAGGGAGGGAGGACCTCCGTCCGGACGACGTAGGCCAGGCGGAAGTGTGCCGGGCGGGGTTAGGAACTTGGCCATGGGTGCAGCAGGGGAGACCGTGACACCAGGCAGGTGGCCGTAGCTGCTGCCGCCCCGGGAGGTCACCACCCCGGGTTCCTTCTCCGCTTCTCCACACCCCGCCCCCCCCCGTGGGGCAGCTGGAGGCCCGGGGGCTGGTCTAGACCCAGGCTGCTGGTTTTCCGTGTCTCACATGTTGCTGAGGGAGCGTTGGGGCCGCCATCGGTGCTCTCTGCCCCCCCTCTTTGGTCCCAAGCGGCAGTCACGGCAATTAAATGACTGAGGCCCGCCCGTCCCTGCCTTCCCACACTCCCTCGGGCCTTTTGCAGAATGGGGCCCCGTCCCGGGTGCTAAGGCGGGACTCCGGGTGGGCTTCAGGAGTAGCGGGCGGCTGGTGCCACAGGACGGGTGGCCGGAGACCCTCGGGCTCCACCTCTGAATCCCAGGGGTGCCCCACAGCCTGGGTTTCCGATTCCCCCATTTTAGGTGACTCCGAGACTTGATGGATCCCCCTGTACTGAGCCCAAATTAGCCCTACTCTGCAGCGAGGGGTCAGCCCACTCTCCTGCACCCCTCCGACTTCGCACGGCTGACTCTGGCCCATCTCCAGCTTGCTGTCACAGCCTTCAGGACCCGCAGAGCCACACGGTGCAGCGGCTGACACTTTGACAAATGACTAAAAGCCCAGCTAATAGGACTGAAGCACTTTCTCTAAGAAAGCCGTTTTACTTGCCTTTAAGCTCCATATATCCTTGGATAACTCGGCTGACAGCCGTGCCAACCCATCTCAGGGACGCGGTGATAAAATACAACGGCAGCACCACCGCGTCTCACAGAAGAAAAAAAAGAATAAAGGCACCTTCCAGGTATTCAGTCCTTAAACACAGGTGCCACCTGCCACGGGCCAGGCACTGCCACACGCCCTGAGCGCTCCCCAGGGCCCCGCCACCGCTCACCCTCCTGCCTGCTCAGGTGAGAACACGGCGTCCCGTGTCTCTGCGGCCACCCCGGCCAGACCCGCCGCCCTGCCCGGCGCACCGCCTGCACCCCGTGGCGTCAGAAGGTTCCTCTGCCAGCCAGGGGCACGCCTGCCGAAGCCTCCAGGATAAGCAGCCGCCTGCCGGGCCCGGCCACTGCCTCCCTGGACCTCGGCTGTAAAGCTCGGACTCTGGGCCCTGACTCCTGATGAGGGGGACGGGTTGGGGCGACTGGAAGGATGAGAAAGAGGACCACGGGGCCAAGCGGACTCTATCCGTGGTGTCTGTGACGCTGAGGGCACAGCGGTGGGGGGGCGCGGAGAGCCCACAGGCTGCGGAGAGAGTTCTGCCTGAAAACAAGGAGCCTCGTCAAGAAGTCAGGAGGTAGCAGCAGGCACCCACACCTTCCCCGGGGCGGCCGTGTGTGTGTGTGTGTGTGTGTGTGTGTGTGTGTGTGTGTGTGGGGGGCAGGGGGGGGCGGTCTTCCAATGGAAGCTTCTTCCTGAGCCTTCTGATTGGAGGTTGTGAGGTTGCAGGGGGAGGAGCCTACCGGGTGGTCCCCAGCTCCCCCTGCTCTCAGCTTCCTAGGGGTGCTGACCTGGAGGGAGCGGCAGGACAGGCTGCAGGAGGCGGGGGCGGGGTGGGGGGTCAGAGGCTACTACTGCAAGGTCTGAGCAAGACTGTGACGAGAGTTACCGCCTTGACACGAAATAGTAGCCACAGATGTGAGCCACCAAAGACAGGCTCCTCTGACCAGTCCCCAAAGGAACGACTTTATGCTCTTCCCTTTCTTTCTCCCGACCTTCCTTCCTTCCTTTTTCCAGCCCCAGTGACTAAGGAATGGGAATGAAGAGGTGGTTTAGAGGGGAACTAGGGGAATTCAGCTTCAGAGAAATTTAATTTCAGGCGAGAGCAGATAACCCATGTAAAAAAAATGTCCAGCAGGACGAAAACAGATTAAAGACAGAAAAAAATTATGAAGTACCATCTACATTTTTTTTTTTTCAAATTTGGTGATACTTCTACTGAAATCCCATTTCTATTCTGCTCCCATATAGTGTGGCAACCACACCAAGGAAGACAGCAGAAGAATGAAAGCATCTGGAAAAAATTATTTTAAGAAATACTGCAAAACCATTTACTAAAAGCAACTCAGGAACGCCGAGACCGGATGAGAAGGAATGCCCGGCACCGGCAAGGGCGCACGCAGCCCGCCGGCATTCTCAGCCGGGCCGGCAGGGAGAGCTCTTCGGAGAGCGAGGTGGCAGTGTCCCTCGGGAGCCGTTAAGGTGTTAAGGTGACTTCCGGGAACCTGTCCTGGGGACACGTGCACGAGAAGACAGTGGGGATGCTCGCTGACCCAGCGGGGGCCCTGGCTGCGCGAACGCTCTCATTGTCTGCAGCCGTGAAACACGGGAAGTCGCTTACCCATCTAACCGCGAAGGGAGAGATTGAGAATATTATGGGGCCTTGGTGGGATCGTCACACAGGCATCGACGCGCCGGTTATGTCGACAATGGGGTAACGGGGACATCTTTCCCCTTCCTTTGCTGTCACTTTAAATGGGAAAATAAAAGCCAGCCCGGTTCTGCGACCGTGAGGCATCACCGCAAGAACAACGTCTGTGTGAGGGGGCCACGCTGTGGGGCGTGTCCTTGCACCCCCCCCCGCCCCAATTCTCGAGCCCGTCCTCCCGCTTGCGCTACGCCCCGAGGGAGGGACTGACTGCGGGCGGACGCGGGAACCCGCGGGTGGGGCAGTACCTTGGCTCCGTCCACGCTGATGATCCGATAGCTGTTCCTGACGACATCGTAGAAGTAGGACACGGTGACGGCCTGCTTGCTGGCGGGCACCCAGTTCTTCTTGGTGGCGGGGTCAATCTGGAAGACGTGCGCCCGGGTGGTGAATATGGGCTGCTCTCTGCGGGGCGAGAGGCGGGCGCGTGAGTCGGCGGGGCGCGGCGTCATGCTCGAGGTGTGGTTTATAGCCCGCCTACTACCCCCCCCCCCCCCCGAGGATGTGAACAGCTTAGAGGGAAAGATACGTATGCATGAGGACGAGTGAAATTAAGAAATGGAACCCTGGCTGGCGTAGCTCAGTGGATGGAGCGAGGGCTGCGAACCAAAGCATCGCAGGTTCGATTCCCAGCCAGGGTACATGCCTGGGTTGTAGGCCATGACCCCCAGCAACCGCACATTGATGTTTCTCTCTCTCTCTCTCTCTCTCCCTTCCTTCCCTCTCTAAAAATAAATAAATAAAATCTTAAAAGAGAAAAGAAATATGATTTGCAAATACTTTTAAAAAATAAAAATAAAAAAGGGAAGAGAGGAGAAAGAGAGACACTGGAGAGGCGGTGACGGACACCAGACACCCCGAGGCTGTGGGGCTACTACGGGCCACGCAGCCACTTGGCTCCCAGCGCACCGCCTCGCTCGCCCAGCGGGTGTTTCTGCGTCCGTCCGGTCAGGACTCTTGCTCTTCCTCGGACCTCCCGCTGGCGTGTTTAGGAGTTTGAAACACATTTGTTTCGGGAGGTTCTGCAACAATGTTAGGGTTTTGCAAACCATGTGCAACTTCATTTGTTTCCATTAAGTACTTCTTAAATTCGTAGCATGTTACAAGTGATGCCTTCATTCATAATTGACTAAGCCTTAAGGTTTCACGTTTCCAACATATGAACTTACTGCGTTTTATGTGGAATTCACCAGATCTATCTCTTTGGCTGTCCTTGCCTCTATCTTACTGCTTTTTCACTCCACATACCTGTAAATTCGTCCTGAGAACCAAGTTAGCACATTATCTATTTTTCTGCTGAGTGGGAAATTAGATCTTGTTAAGAAGCATTAAGAGATAAGGCAGATGTATAAAAATTGTAATGGACTTCACGGCGTTTTATATTTTAAGGTATCTATTTTCACAAAACAACCAAAAGAAACAGACTCATTAGAAAATATTTAATTTTGAAAAAAAAAAAAAAGGATCTTCAGGCAAAGTGGTTCAGAAATCCTTGTAAGTGTTCAAAGTAAGATAAAATGGAGGGGAGCCCTGGCTGGCATAGCTCATTGGATTGAGCGCGGGCTGCGAACCAAAGCATCGAAGGTTCGATTCCCAGTCAGGGCACATGCCTGGGTTGCAAGCCATGGCCCCCAGCAACTGCACATTGATGTTTCTCTCTCTCTCTCTTTCTCCCTCCCTTCCCTCTCTAAAAATAAATAAATAAATCTTTAAAAAAATCATTTAAAAAAAAGATAAAATGGAGGGGAATAAGATAAAGATAAAATGCCACCAGAAATGTAAAAACCATCCCAGCACTCATCAGAATGCTACAGATTTAACAAGCACGTATTAGAGACAGAAATTAAATCAAAAGGTAACATAGGCAAATTAATTTTTAAAATCATGACCATGTCAACAGACATGACATAAAAGACTAAAACACCCAGGTGGAGACAAAAATCAAAAGGGAAAAGTGAATTTTCAGTGTTCTGGTCTCTGACGGAGTGGTTTTATGCAAAATCAGTCTTTGAACCCATCTTGACTGTAGGAGACTCATCACCGGAAAGACAGCTCTTCCTAAGGAGAGGAACTTTCTCCCAGAAAAACAATGCGCCATTCGAGTGTCCTGCAAGGGGCCCGAACGCCACCCTGAATGCCGGCACCAAAGGCCAGCCGTGGGCGCAGAGAAACGCAGGACCGCCTGCCTGACAGCTTCTCCCGGAGAACAGAAGCCGCGAGCATGCCCCTCACGCCACCTCGGAGCCGCCGCGTTGCCAGGCCGGCCTCGCAGAAGAGCACACGGAAGCCGGCATCCCGCCCCCCGGGGCCTTTCCTTCCAGATCCCGGGAGGGAGCAAGACAAGTGCCTCTGGGGACGGGGACTGTTACTAGCACATTTTCTTCCCTCCACAGGAACCGAGTTCAGGCACCCACTCACCCCTACACCGACACCCTCCCGGCAGCAGGGCGATGGCCGTAGGGGCAAAAGGAATATTCTCCCTGCAGCTGCCCGCAGCTGCTGTCCAGGGCAGCCCGTGGGGAGCATGTGCGTGTGGACGCAAGGCTTCCCACCCGGGCCGCGTGGGCAGTCTGACGCCTGGAGGCCCAGCTGTGCCGCCGCCGCCGCCGCCGGCCCGGGCGCCGGGTTTAGCTCATCGTCCAAGTGCACCACCACGGAGGGACACTCTGGCTCGCGTGGTGTTCTCTGGCATTTGTGAGAGGAGGGCGTGCCTGAAAGGGCAACAATGCAGAAGAGGTTTTTAAAGAATCCGATTGTGCTAAAACCTCTGCCTCCCCGTGCGGAGCACTAGCAAGCTGGGCAGGGGTCTTCCCTGGGAAGGGTCGGGCTTTCAGACCCTCCTCCCTCGCGTCCTCCGCCCCGAGGAAGGAGGACCAGGGCTAGTCCGAGCGCCCTGAGACCCGTGACAGCAGTGAGCCGGGCGCTTCATCTCAGAACACAAGCGCCCCAGCCCTGGCCCGGCCCCCGGGAACCTGGGTCTGCAGGGTGGGGGCCTGAGTAGCTCTGCTCTTCCCAAGAGCTCCCAGCGACACTCATCCTCAAAGACGCTGGGGAGAGACTCGTGTTAGGTATCATCAGATAATCTAGAGTAAAAAGGGAAGAAGTGACAGACACAGCCAGCGCCTCTTCTCCAGAAAGACCCAGCTGACTGTGAGTGACACCGAATATCTCCAGAATGTCCCCCCACAGCCCAATGTCCCCCCAGCAGCGGGACCAAGAACAGGATCTCTGAGTGCAAAGGGTGGGGGAAGGGCGAGGGGGGGCGGAGGTGCCGAGGTCAGGAAAGGGGGCAGCGGGTGGTGGCCGAGCGGTGGCCTTCAAACACGCCCCGTCCCTGCGGCCCACAGCAGGGAGAGAGCGAAGGAAGCAGAGTGGAGAGAGAGAGCCGGGGAGGAGGGGCAGGGAGACAGGAAAAGATGGCGGGGCTTTCTGACGGGGACCAGCAAAGGCAGCGACTCATCTGATCCGCAGGGTCCTGGTCAAGGTGCGTGTGCAGACAGGAAGGACCCATCCCCAAACCCACCTGCTCAGCTCTGGGGATGGACTAAAGCTAAGACAGGTTGCCCTCCAGACCCCAACCAGAAACGCACTTTCTTGGGAGAGCCCGGCCGACCACACCACCCGCGGTGGCTGCAGGGGCAGCGGCTGCGGAAGCACAGGGAGAGGCCCCGAGACCTGGTGGGCGGGAGCTCCGGGGGGCGCCCGCCAGCCCCGCGCAGAGAAGGGCACCACGGCCACGGGTCCTCGGTCCCCGGGACCCGCACGGCCGGTTGGGCGGCAGCTGTGTGCCCAGGAGACGGCCCAGAGGCCTGGGATTTCCACATGCATAACCAAGTCTCAGCCCCTGGGATATTCTACCTTATTCCTCAAAAAGTCAAAAATCTAATTGTGTTTAAAGAAAGGGCCAGAAACCCAGCATGGTAAAAAGAAAAGCCAGTGGCGCATATTGACTGGCTGCTCGCCATTCCACCTGGCCTTACCTGTGACCCCTCATTCAGGACCACAGTGACCCTGGGGGAAGGCGCCGCACAGGTGGGGAAGCTCGGGCTTGGAAAGGCCAGGACCAGCCTCGGGGCCCACCGGCAGGGAGCGGCAGCTCGCAGCCCGGCAGACCGGAGACCTGGCGTCAGTGCAAGGGACTCAGGCATTCCCCCTCTCAAACACGAGGCTGCACTCGACGCTCCCTGAAACAGCCGTGCCCGCCCGTTGCTGACGTGACCCCTACGATCGCGACCTCTGGCACTCACACCCTGGGGTGATAACACCCTCCCTCTGTCTGAGCAGGCGTGCGGCCTGCGCCGTGCTCTGCACCACAAGAATGGGGCCGAGGCGACGGGCTGTCACGTGTGTGGGCAGGTCACACAGGACTGGGGCGTCTGCGGTGCTAGTGCACTCCCTCGGCCAGGAGGGAGTCCTGCTGAGGTCTCTCCCGCCGGCTCGGGTGAAGCAAGCCACCGCAGTGGGGAGGCCCACGCAGCAGGAACCGGGGTGGGGGGTGGGGGGGTGGCCTCCAGCCAGCGGCCAGGGCAGAACCGAGGACCTTCGTCTAAAGCCACGCGAGGAACTGGGATTCTGCCAGCAATTGCCTGGAAGTTGAGAAGTGGATCTTTCCACAACTGAGCCTTCAGGTGAGACCACAGCCCTGGGCAGCAACTTGATGACTCCTTCCAAGACAGGGGTCCCCAGCTGCAGGCCCCGGATGGTACCTGCCTGGGCCTGGGAAGAACCAGGCCACACAGCAGAAGGTGAGGATGAGTGTAATGCACTTGCATCATCCCCAAACCACGCCCCGGCCCCCGTCTGTGGGGAAAACTGTCTTCCACGAGACCGGTCCCTGGTGCCAGAAAGGTTGGGGGCCGCTGGTCTGAGGGACCCCGAAGCTGAGGACCCGGCTACGCCGTGCCTGGCTCCTGACCCAGGGACACGTGCTCCATCTGGAGCTGCCAAGTTCGCGGCAGCCTGTTGCCCGGCAACAGGTGACGAAGACAGCGACCTTCACAGAAGCTGGCTGACCACACGCCGTGCAAATCACACACATTCTCACTCAGTCTTCCGACAGGGCGGCGCCACTCGCACCGAGAACTGGGGTCCCAGGGACCTCGGGCAGCCCGAACAATGAATGGTTACATCTGTCTGGGCAAAGTCAGAGCGCTCCGCCGCCTCGCCACAGAATCCCAAAACGCAGACCCCCACCCCACTCTGCCGGAGCGCCTCGCCCCACCCGAGACAGCGGACGGGAGAATGGAACTGGGACACCCACGTCAGCTCCCACCCGTGTGCACTTCGGTATAAATAGAAAGCCCGGGAGAAGCAGGACTGTCCGTCGCGGGAGGCCGCCTCTCCGGCGCAGCAGGGGGAAGCTGGAGAGAGTGCGCGTCGGAGAACAGAAGCCCACCTCGCGCCCC